AGGAAGCTCATCGCCAAGAAGACAAGCAGGGCTCTGCGGAGGAAAATGAGTGGGAGGAAGAAGAGGAGGACGAAATCTCCAGCTCGGGAGAGGAGGAGGACGAAGAAAAGGACCGGGATGCCGATGAAGAAGGCGAAGAGGAGGAGGAGCCCCTCTCGGCCCCCAAGAGTGGGCCCAGCCAGTCCGCCCCTCCCAGAAAGGGAAAGCTACCCACTCAGAACTTGTTTGCTTTGCTTGGGGAAGATGAATGTTAGTAGCTTCCCCTCTTGGACTAAGGGACAGGCAATAGATTTGCCCAGTCCAACCCAGCCGCCTTCCCCGTTGTGCATTCCCCAGCTCCGGAGCTGCCGCTGTATATCAATAAAGGTGATGTTTATTTCCTGGCCCATCTTTGTGGCTGTGGAGAGATGAATTAGGAACACAGGAGGATCCGTAGCCTGTTGCTCTGAACTCTTGTAATAGCTGGGAGATGCTGGGACATCTGTAATACCAATAGCATACTTAGACTTATAGACCGCTTCACAGTGCTTTACGGCCCTCTCTAAGCGGTTTACAGAGTCAGCAAATTGCCCCCCGACCATCTGGGTCCTCATTTTACCGACTTCGGAAGGATGGGAGGCTGAGTCAACCTTGAGCCGGTCAGGGTTAAACTTCTGGCAGTTGGCAGAATTAGCCTGCAATATTGCATTCTAACCACCGCCCCACCACGGCTACAAGCAGAACAGCGAGCTGTTGCCCATCACTTGGACAGGTTGACCACTGTTGGAGATTGCAGAGTCATTCTCAAAAATATACAGGTAGTCCTTGACTTACAGCAGTTCATTTAGTGACCATTCAAAGTTGCAACGGCACTGAAAAAAGTGACCAATTACTGTTTTTCACACGTATGACCATTGCAGCATCCCCATGGTCACGTGATCAAAATTCAGATGCTTGGCAGCTGGTTCATATTTATGACAGTTGCAGTGTCCCGGGGTCATGTGATTACCATAGTTTTCCAACTATAAGGCAACTAAATTTAGAAGAGAAAAACAACAAAAATAAGTTTTGGCCTACCTTTTTTCTGGCCTTTTTCCAGCCATTTTCCAGTCTTTTTGCGGCCTATTTTTGCGGCTTTTTGCGGCCTGTTTTTGGAGCTTTTTTTGGCCCATTCTTGAGGCTTTTTGCAGCCCATTTGGGGGGCATTTTTTGCCCATTTTCGGGGCTTTTTTTGCCCCATTTTTGAGGTTTTTTTGGGGTCTGTTTTTGAGTCCTTTTTTAGGCCTGTTTTTTCTGAAAAAATGGGCTGAAAAATTCCCCGAAAAGGGGCCAAAAAAAGCCCTGGAAATGGGCTGAAAAAAACCAAAAAAGGGGCCGAAAAAAGCCCAAAAAATGGGCTGAGAAAAGCCTCAAAAAGAGGCCGAAAAAAGCCCCCAAAACAGGCCAAAAAAGCCCCAAAAATGGGCCAAAAAAGCCCCCAAACGGGCCAAAAAAACCCTCAAAAACAGGCTGAAAAAAGCCTCAAAATGGCCAAAAAAGGCCTGAAAACAGGGTGTGTGGAGGCTAAAAAATGGCTGGCAGATGGGCGGGCTTCAACAATATTCAGTCTATAAGACGCACAGACATTTTCGCCCCCTTTTGGGAGACAAAAAGGTGTATTTTATAATCCGAAAAATACGGTACTTTCTGTGACCTGATAAGCAAAGTCAATGGGGAATCCACATTCACTTAACAACCGTGTTAGTAACTTAACTGAAGTGATTTACTAAACAGCTATGGGGTAGAACTCAGCAAGTGTCTCACTTAACAACATAAATTTTGGGCTCAATTGTGGTAGTAAATCGAAGACTACCTGTACATCCTTTTGTAGTCCAAACAGGATCATCTGCACATTCAGCAAAAATAGCCCCAAACTTGAGGAAATAGCAAGCTTTGCGAAAGTACAACTGTCTTTAGGTTAAAAAAGTGTATTGGAGAGGAGAAATTTTTTATAATTCATATCACCCAAAACATTCCCGTGAAAATGAAGTCTGCTCTTGGTAGGGAATATAGATAGTCCTTGATTTATGACCACAATTGAGCCCAAAGTTTCTGTTGCGAAGTAAGACAGTTATTAAGCAAGTTTTGCCCCATTTTATGAGACCTTCCTTGCTACAGTTGTTAAATTAGTAACAGAGTTGTTAAGGGAATCCGGCTTCCCTATTGACTTTGCTTGTCAGAAGGTGGCAAAAAGGGATCACATGACCTTGGGACATAGCAAGTATGTGCTGTGCTAAGCATTTTAATTTTGATCACGTGATCATGAGGATGTAACAGCTGTTAAGTGTGAAAAAACAGTAATAAGCCACTATTTCGCGGCCATTGTAACTTTTTATGACCCCTAAATGAACTGTTATAAGTCTAGAGCTACCTGTACTAGCTTCATCAAGTGGGGCAGGAAAGAGAAGTGGGGTGGAATAGAATAGAATGGAAAGGATATGATTGGTTGGCATTCAGACTGAAATGTTCATCCCACCTGTAAGTGTGCTGCTTCAGATTTAACAAAATAACAGAATCGAACGGGACCTCGGAGGTCTTCTAGTCCAACCCCCTATAGCATGTGCGCCAGAAACCCAGAAGACAAACAGGCAAAGCCGTGCATGCTGGACGACATAGCAACATGCCATAGGTTCGTCATCATGGCCCTATACCATTCCAGACAAATGGCTGTCCAATCCTTTAAAACCTTCAGTGATGGAGCACCCACAACTTCTGGTGGCAAGACGTTCCACTGGTTAATTATTCTCACTGTCAGGAAATTTCTCCTTAGTTTTAGGCTAGTTCTGTCCTTGATTAGCTTCCATCCATTGCTTCTTGTCTGCTTTCAGGTGCTTTGGAGAATAGGTTGACTAACTCTTCTTTGTGGCGCCCCCTTAGATATTGGAACGCTGCTATCATGTCACTCCTAGACCTTTTCACTAGACTAGACATACCAATTCCTTCCCAATTGAAATAAATTTGGAATTCCAAATTCCAAATCTAGTGAGAATACCCAATTTCACTTACATTGTTTTCCATGGCAGTTACTGTATTTAATATAGTACGTCCATGGTTCAGTTTATGGAAAAGATATTAGTCTGCTGGTTACTGCCATATAATCTGACTTTATCTCTCAAATTTAGTGGAAGCTATACTTATAAAAGCTTCCATCCCAAATGATATTCTGTTTGGTTGCCAAATGAGGCTAAATGAATGAAGGCATTACTTAATGTGATCTTGGACCAGATTAAAACTAAAAACCAAGATAAAACCAGATTAATGGGTCAAATGACAATACGTTAATTCTGTGTTCTTAGATTTTTTTAAAAAAATCCATTTGTGGGAATCAATTTTCAACAGTCCTGACTCCTGATTGAGTTACAGGAATGTGAAATGGAGGCAAGTCCTCCATCATCCCAAGTTAAAACAAAAATGATAATAGATCATTATCTTTCCTATACCGGTTGCTAACCATTCTCAGATGAAATGCTTGTAACCAAGTGAATTTTCCAAGGGTTGCATTTTCTCATTTGAACTGCCTTGACAACAATTGCCAGGTAAATAATGCTTTAGTGTTAACTCTTGTCTTCTGGCTTACCTGGATAGAGGGCAGAGCAGAGGTGGTATTCAGCAGGTTCTGACCATTTCTAGAGAACCAGTAGTAGAAATTTTGAGTAGTTCAGAGAACTGGTAAATACCACCTCTGATTGGCCCCGCCCCCATCTATCCTCTGCCTCCCGAGTCCCAGCTGATCGGGAGGAAATGGGGATTTTGCAGTAAGCTTCCTCTGGAGTAGGGTGGGAATGGAGATTTTACAGTATCCTTCTGCCACGCCCAAGCCATGCCATGCCCACAGAAAAGGTAGTAAAAAAATTTGAATCCCACCACTGGGAGGTCTTCTAAACACAGTGCTAGCCCAATTTCTGCCAAAATCTCATGTTATCCCTTTTCAAAATCAACACATTGTTATCTGTAGGTAAAGGTAAAGGTTCCCCTCGCACATATGTGCTAGTCGTTCCCGACTCTAGGAGGGCGGTGCTCATCTCCGTTTCAAAGCCGAAGAGCTACGCTGTCCGAAGACATCACCGTGGTCATGTGGCCGGCATGACTCAATGTTGAAGGCGCACGGAGTGTTGTTATATATAATCTCTGCCAATTGTTAAGTATAGCGATGGTGGACCTATGACACAGGTCATAGCCATGCCATTTTGGGTGACACGACTTCAATAACACCCAACAACATCTATTCTCAAACACATACTCTATTCTCACATGACTTTTGGAGGCTGCAGAGGCCCTTTGAGAATGAGGTGCACTCTTCTGTGGCCATTGGACATTCTGGAATTTACTCAGGAGGATTGTGCGCTAGTGCAGCCTCTGGAGCCCCCCCCCAAATAACACAAGAACATGGGGTGTTTTTCTGCAGTTTTTAGAGGCTGCAGCAGCACATTTTTCTGAAAAAACGGGCCGGAAAAAGCCTCGAAAACAAGCCAAAAAAAGCCTTGAAAACAAGTCGAAAAAAGCCCCAAAAATGGGCCGCAAAAAGCCTCGAAAATGGGCCGCAAAAAGCCCCAGAAACAGGCCAAATAAAGACTGGAAAAGGGCTGAAAAAAGGCCCGAAAAAAGGGAGGCCAAAAACTTTTTTCTGTTGTTTTCCTCTTCTAAATTTTGGTGCATCTTATAGTCCGAAAAATATGGTAAATTCTATGCCTCCAGGGCCACTATGCCTGTCTCTCCATTGAGAGGGCGATGATGCATCATGGAAGAAACCCAGTGAGATTTTTCTTGCCCTCCAAATAGGAACCTTGTTGTGGACTCATCTTTTACAACCTGATTTCCAAAGGTTTTACAAGCTGGAAGGGCTTTTACACTTGTGTAAACTTGTGTATATTATTGAAAGTTCTGCTTAGCATCCAATCCGTAGAGCACCACTGAAGTTGGAGATGATAAAAAAAAGGATCTTTACCAAACTTTTAAAGACAAAGTAGAAACAGGCAAACAAGTTTTATCTTTTTAAAAAAATAGATTACATTTATTTTGCACTGAAATCCAAGATTTCTCTCTTTTTTTTAAAAAAAAAAAAGCTTCATTAGTATTAAGATACAGAATTACAATATACATTTACAAGGACAGAACAAAGGTTTTGAAATATTGATGGTGTTTCAGGTCACTGTAAAATAAGGCAGTAGAAATAGATCTTAGGTGGCAGCAGCCTAGAGATTTTAACTTTCCTCTTCCTGCTATATGTAGAAGGTTCCTGTACCTTTAACAAAAGTAAGAATTATAACAAAATAGACAGGAGGAATCAGACATTTTACTCCTAGAGCGATGGAACATGTTTATTTTATTTATTCATCACATCTGTACAGTTTATAATAAAAAATATGTTCCATTGTAATGTCCCGTAAAGGAAGTTGGAAGGGTTTTTCTGCTAATCAGTTAAAAGTGCAGGTCTTCCATTGCCCACAACTTCCCCAAACTGGTGCCCACAGTGGCCTCCTATGGGGTGGAGTTCAAGATTTCCATAGGGCATTATGATAAAAGTCCTGTCCCTTTCTACATCTTTATACAAAAGGGCTTAGCTTTTTTGACCTTCCCTATTGATGCTGCTGGATGGCTCCCAGATGTGACTCTATGATAGTGATGGCTAACCTTATAATTCTATGGGACCGGAAGTTGGTAAATGGGCCGTTTCTGGCCTCTGGAGGGCCTCTGGGGGGGGTGGGAAAGGCCGTTCGCCCTCCCCAGGCTCCTAGAAAGGCTCTGGAGCTAGGTGAGAGAGAAAAACCGGCCTTCCCCACCACCCATTCGAGGCCCTCCAGAGGCAGGAAACAACCTGTTTCCCTACTTCTGGTGGGCCCAGAAGGCCTGAAAATTAGTTGGCATGTGCCAGAGCTGAGCTTGCATGCCCACTGATATGGCTACGTGTGCCACCTGTGGCACACGTGCCATAGGTTTGCCATCATGGCTCTATGACATGATGATGAGGGAGGAGGGGAGCCATAATCCAATGATTTATAGAAACATTTCTCAACCATGGCAACTTGATGTCTAGATTTCAATTCCCAGAATTTCCCAGCTAGCATGCTGGGAAATAACAAGGATAGCTGTATCTGAGAACTTTAACATGGGCAATGTTTCTATTAATCAAGATAATCTTTTAAAAGAACAATACAAGTGAAAGATTTGGTAATCCCTTAGGAAAATCTAATACTAAGATGTTAGTATTAGCATTTGGACTGAAAGCTTTTTGATTTCTGTTTTTTCTTCTATGATCCAAGGAAGTTTTCACCTCAGAAACAAGGCACCTTTGCAACAGTAATTAAGCGGCTTAAACCATCACACACATACTGTATACTCATAAATCACATTGAAGAAATCTACAATCCCCTTATAACATATTCCTCCAAATAAGTGCACTTGGCTGCTAATATTTCTTTAAGTATTTGCATGTTGAGGTTAAAATGCTATGATTAAAAATTGTGGCAAGAGGTCAGTAAAAGCTCCTTTGAAATAAATAAAAACATGCTATTAATTTTAAAAGGACCCTTTTAAACATTCTGTTAGTCAAAGCAGGCCATTAAAGAGCTAAAGAGCAGTCACTTCCCCCCATTTTTTTTTTAACTCAGAAGGGGTTGCTATGCTTTTGAAAACATATTCTAGAGATGCCTCTTTTCCAGAGTTGGACATTTGTTTAACCAACTGCTTTGCTCTCCGCACAACCATCCAATCTAGAGGCTGCCATGAAAATGGCCAATTATAGCTAGATTTCAACCAGTATTAAGGATTCTCAGAGTAAGAGAAACATTCATGATCAAAAAGGATCTCCTTAATATTCTAAGATGGGATCAACCCATCGGTTATTCCAATAAAATCCTAAACAGGATCTTATTCTCCAATAAGATCCTAAACAGCACCTCCATTACATGATCTACAATATGAGTAAAACTTAGTGTGTTTGTCCAGACTATCCCAATTTGACATTCTCCAAAATGTGTGGAGACTAAAATCCCTAACATCTTTATCTAATACTGCTGTTGAGGACAATGAAGTCCATAACAATGGAGAACACTAGCTTAGGAAAGATTCTTTTAGGGAGTTACAAGAGACTGGGTCCAGTAGATAACAAATTCTTGGGAGGTAGTTCTGCAAGGCCTTTTTATGTAAAAGCACAATCAAGATAAGATATGGCGTATTAGTCAGTGCTTTGCAAGCACGGACCTGGCAGGCAGACCGCCACAAAAGTCAGACCCACCCCTGCAACCAAAACCGGTACCTATCCCGCCCTTACTCAGTTGTCCTTGTAGTCTGAGGGGCCATTTTGAGCCAACAAGCCCCCATAAGCTGCCTCTTCCCGGGAGAAGATTTGGAACTTCTTGTCCAGCTGGGCACGGAGGTAGAGGTAATCCTGTTCATCCAAGCTGTGAGCACAGGTAAGATAGACCGTGAAGAGGGAGGCCAGAAGCAGGCGGTCAAGGGAGAGGCAGGGAACAGCCCAGAGGATAAGGAGAAACTCCACGTACAATGGATGACGAAGGTGGGCGTAGAGACGGAGGGCCCGTGAAGACTTCACAGCCAAAGGGTCTCCCATGCCCAAGCAGTAGTAATAAACCTGGGGTTGAAATGAGAACACCACCTGTGTACTGTTTACTGTAGAGGCAGATTTTAAACATGCGTCCAAGACAGCCTTGGGCTCTCTGAAGATGTGCTTCCCATTTGTAGCACAACGCTGAGTACAGATAGCCCTCGACTTACGACCACAATTGAATTTTTGTTGCTAAGTGAGTTTTGCCCATTTAGCAGCCTTTCTTTGCTGCAGTTAAGCGAATCACTGCTATTTTAATCATAGTAAAATGGTTGTTAAGTGAATCTGGCTTCCCCATTGACTTTGCTTGTCGGGAGGTCGTAAAAAGGAAGCACCTGACACCCGGATGTTGCAACCATCATAAATATGAATCAGTTGCCCAGTGTCTGAATTTTAATCACATGACCATGGGGATGCTGCAATGGTCATAAGTGTGAAAAATTGTCCTAAGTCACTTTTTCAGTGCCGGTGTAACTTTGAACCAGGGGTGAAATCAGCAGGTTCTGACAGGTTCTGGAGAACTGGTAGCGGAAATTGTGAGTAGTTTGGAGAACTGGCAAATACCACCTCTCTCTGGCCCCAGAGTGGGGTGGGAATGGAGATTTTGCAATATCCTTCCCCCAGGAGTGGGGAGGGAATGGGGATTTTGCAGTATCCTTCCCCTGCCCACCAAGCCACACAACGCCCACAGAACTGGTAGTAAAAAAATTTGGATTTCACCACTGCTTTGAATGGTCACTGTTATATGTTGAGGGCTATCTGTACTTTCCCCCCCCCCCAGGCCTTAGGGCAGGTTCATAGTTGAGCCCCTTTCCTTCCCTTCAAAATGTATTGTTTGCGGGGTCCTTGATACTCTCTGAGTTCGGTTGTTTTCTTGCAGATGTTTTATTACCTAGTTCGGTAACATCTTCAGTGTTAGAAGGGATTGGGGTTTACTCTGTTTATATATAGTGGCTTGACCTCAGTGTTGGTGGGAGTGCTTTCTTCTTGGTAGTTCCTTGCTTAGCTGTTGTGTATACTGTTTTGACTGTCTGCAAGAAAACAACCAAGCTCAGAGAGCACCAAGGACCCCACAGTTCAACCTTATGTTACAAATATTCTCTTCTATTGGGATGTACTCAGGGGTGGGCTGCTGGAGGTTCTCAGGGGTTCGGGAGTTCAGAGAATCCCCAAATCCCACTCCTGGCTGGCCCGCCCACCCCGTCCCTCCCAGGAGTCTCCACACAGCCCATTTTGGATGCGAGATAAGTGCAGTGTGCACGCTGAGGCTCGGGGAGGGCGAAAAATGGGCCTACCAAAAGATTTCTGGCCTCCAGAGGGCCTCTGGAGCCTGGGGAGGCCGTTTTTGCCCTCCCGGAGGCTCGAGGAAAACCTCCAGAGCCCAGGGAGAGCAAAAAGCCCCCCCCCACCCCCCGTGGTGCAGGAGGCTGACTAGGCCACGTCCACCATGGCCACGCCCACCCAACAACTGGGCAGAGAACCCCTTGCTAAAGTTTTTGAAGCCCACCCCTGGATGTACTGATTGTTACAGAGAACTTGTCTTCTGGATGAGCACAATCTATTATTTTATTCATTCTCACTTTTTAAGTGTAAGCCACTCAGAGGCATCTGGAATAGGGTAGCTTCTAAATTTCATTAAATAAATAAAGTGATGCTGGGGGGGGGGAATTGCCTCCCCCAGTTATCTTCTGGGGGAGGCAACTCCCCCCCCCAAGCATCACTTTATTTATTTAATGAAATTTAGAAGCCACCTTACTCCAGATGCCTCTGAACGGCTTACATGGGACTAGATCAGATGCTGGGCTCACCATGTTTTTATTTCTCAAACTACACTATACTGCCTGCAGCCTTGCTCACCAAATGGAGAAACATGAAGGGGAAAAACGAATACAAACACAGTACCTGCTTGACTCCCATCAGTTCTGCATAATCAAAGATGAGAATGATGCTAAAGATGATTAGCCAGGAGATGAAATGGAGGATAAAGCAGATGAGTGGAACCCAAGTGGTCCATGGCTCAGAGTTTGTGTTCCAGAGCATAGGACCATCCTGTACTGGCTGCCAGTATCTCATCAGCAACTATGTTAAAAGGAAAAAAATTGCATTACTTCCCTGTTTCCCCGAAAATAAGACATCCCCGGATAATAAACCCAAACGGGCTTTTGAGCGCATGTGCTAAAATAAGGCCCCCCCTCAAAAATAAGACCTCCTCGAAAATAAGCCTTCCCCAAAAATATTTATTTATTTTATTTTATTTTAAACATAAACAAACATACAACGTAAATACATATAAAAACACGTACATAATACACACACGAAGAAACAAGAAAAAACTATCCTAAGAAGCTATCCTATCGGTGGTTGTTTACTCATTTACCTGTTGTTTCTTTATTTAAAAGTTTGCATTTCTGCTTATTTGTGTTTTAGCATAGTTGTGCTTTTCTAAGCGTAGTTTTCTGCAATTTGTACCAACTATTCGTAACTACCATCCTACTATTTCCCTCATGTGCCACTTTCTGTACTCCCAATTAATTTTTCCTAACATAAGCCTTCCCCAAAAATATTTAAATGCATGTGCAGCTGGGCCCTGCAATTTCTTCTGCTCAGGGTTAGGGAGACAGAGCTGGAAATCAGGTAAGATGGCAAGAGGATTCCCGTCTTGCTCCACGGGCCCCAAAATAATAAGACCACCCTGAAAATAAGGCCAAGCGCTTATTTCAGGGTTCAAAAAATATAAGACAGAGTCTTATTTTCAGGGAAACACAGTAGCAGGCACTGCAAAGATATTTAACATGACTGCATGTGAGAAACTCCAGGTCATGCAGGGTATAAATCAAAATAACGGAATTGGAAGGGACCTTGGAGGTCTTCTAGTCCAACCCCCTGCTCAGGCAGGAAACCCTCTACCATTTCAGACAAATGATTAGACAATTTCTTCTTAAAAGCCTCCAGTGTTGGAGCACCCACAACTTTTGGAGGCAAGTTGTATTTTACAAAACAACGCAAGTTTAAATGCAAGTTAAAATTATAGTCTTCATTACTGTCTATTTTTTTTTTTTTAAATTGCCCATTTCTCCTAGCTGAGAAAGAAACTCAATTTGTACTTTACAACATAATGAAGAATTAAAGACTCAAGCTTTTACGGGTAGTCCTTGACTTACGACCACGATTGACACTGGGATTTTGATCATAAGTCATTGCAGTCGTAAGTCGAGTCACCATGTGACTGCACTCAATTTTTACTACTGTGGCCAAGCGAGTCCCTGTGGTTGTTAAGCAAATCACATGGTCATGAGTCTGAATCCAGTTTAGGGTGTTTTTGCCAGAAAATGACAAAAATAAAATTAAATAAATAAATCACAAAAAGCAATCAAGTGCCCATGGGACGCTGCAACCAGTTATAAATGCAAGCTGATTGCCAAGCACCTAAAATATGATCACATGGCTGCGAGGATGGGGCAGCAATTGTAACTTCAGGGAAAGTTGGTAACTTTCCTTGAAGTTACAATTAAAGTTGGAGTCCCATTATAACTTCAATTGGCGCACCGTCCATAAGTCGAGCTGTACCTGTACAACTTCCCACTAAATCAATCTGCCTACCTGAAGGGATAAGCCTGTGCAAAAAACATAGACCGTTCTCTGCAAGACCCCAAAGCAGTTGCAGGTCCAGTGTTTGACACGATCAGAAGCCATCAGGCTGTGCTGCAGGATAAAAAGGACGATCAGGCCCACATCCACTGTGAGTGAGTGCAGAATCTTGGGATCCCTTAGGGCAGTTTTCCACTGAGGATTTGAGGTGTCATCTGCAAGAGAAAAACTGAGGCATCTTACACCCTGTATATCGCAGGACATAAGAATTACCAAAGGGGTTTATAAAGGTCTACATTGACTTTTCTCAACCTTTTAAACTGAGAGTAGAGTTTGTCTGTATGCAACGAAATTTCATTTTAATATATACCGATTAGTGTACATTCAAAGTGACAATAAATTTATTCTAAGTCAACTGCAACTTTAAGATTGGTGGACTTCAACTCCCAGAATTCCTCAGTCAGCTGAGAGGTTGAAGTTCACCCGACTTAAAATGGCTGAGATTGATGAACATTGCCCTAGAGCAGGGGTCCCCAAAGCCCCAGTCCATGGCGCGGAACCGGGCTGCGGAAGTGGTGGGCCAGTGCACATGCGTGCACGCACAAAGCTGCATTTGCAAAAATGACACAGGAGCAAAACCATCCTCTCTCCCCCTCCACTGCCGCTGCCTCCATTGGTCCACCGAGCCAGAAAGGTTGGAGACCGTTGCCCTAGCCTAGAGGAACCCTTGAAATAATTTTGAGGTTTCAGGGAACCCCTGCATAAAAAATATTACATCTGCAGCTAGCAAAGAGGGGTGTTTTGGGGCTTCAAAATGAAATCCTGAAGTCTAAGGCAGTTCATAGTCGGCCCAACCCAATCTGGAGAACTGCTGGGAATGCAGTGGAAGGACACTGGCATTTAGAAATCTGATTTTTTTCCCCCTTATATTTTCCAAATTGCACTTCAAAATCTGATGGGCACAGCTCACTCAGCATCCCAAATATTCTGCAGAAAGCATAAAAGGACTGTAACGTTTGCAATCCAAAGACAGTAAAACAAGGGGAAATTTTCCCTTTGATGAGCATGAAAATTACGTGCAAGCCTTAGGTATAAGAATAGCTTTCTGGGACTGAGCATGGGGTCAGTGTGGGTTATCGCCTCAAAACCAGCCTTAATCCTTGATCAAATGCCCAGGATCTTAAATGATAGAAGCGGAATTCTGCCAAAGATGACTTCTAATATTACTGCAAAGTTTTGATCTAACAGCTTATGCAGGAGGGCAGCAAGAACAAAACAGCTGAATGACAATTTGATCGCTTTCAACGTCTTATATGGCTACGATCTGTTCAATACCCTGTCACTGGTTGGATTCACACAACAGTCTAAGCCATGATGTGGATTTCCAGTTTGAGTTTATTATACTGTCGGAACGCAGCCATTGATAAAGTTCGCTCATGCAATCCATTGTTGTTGTTAGTTGGGAAGTCGTGTCCGACCCATCGCGACCCTGTGGACAACGTTCCTCCAGGCCTTCCTGTCCTCTACCATCCTCTGGAGTCCATTTAAGCTCACGCCTACTGCTTCAGTGACGCCATCCAGCCACCTCGTTCTCTGCCGTCCCCTTCATCTTTTGCCCTCAACCTTTCCCAGCATTAGGCTCTTCTCCAGTGAGTCCTTCCTTCTCATTAGGTGGCCAAAGTATTTGAGTTTCATCTTCAGGATCTGGCCTTCTAAAGAGCAGTCAGGGTTGATCTCCTCTAGGAGTGACCGGTTTGATCGCCTTGCAGTCCAAGGGACCCGCAGGAGTCTTCTCCAGCACCAGAGTTCAAAGGCCTCAATTCTTAAGCAATCCGTTACTGTAAATCAAATCAAATCCGTGCAGGGTGCGTGCCCAGGCGCAAATTGTTTGGCAGCACGGGAGAAGCATTCACTCATTTCTATTTCCAGTCTTGCCATGTTTTTCAAAGGGCCTCTGGGCAGAAAGCAAGCTGCAGCTGGAAAGGTTGCCACAGGGCAAGCAAGGGTAGTTGCAGCGTGGAAATCTCCCTGGCGCTCTCGTCTTAATTCGCTATTTTAAACACATCCGCGACGGTACCGGTTGCTCCTCGTTCTCCCACGGGAAGCCTTTAGATCGGAGAGGATCAACTCATCCCAAAAATAAATAAATAAATAAAAAATAAATCCCTCCAAATGTCTTGGAAGCAGCCCAAAGCCGCACTCCCAATCGGAGGTCCTGCTTCGGGATCTCCCCGTTCTTACCTGGATTCACGCCGGTCCCGTGGGGAGGAGACGCAGCCCCCGCGGGAAGCTGCAAAAAGACGGCACGGAAGGAAATAAAACGGATCAGCTCCACGCCGGTCCCGAAGGTGAAAAGGAAATTGCCCAAGGCCGGGATCATCAGCAGGAACTGCAAAGCAGCCATGGCGGGGATTAAAAAAAAAAAAAAAACAGAGCTTCTCCCGCCGCTTGGAAGGAACGCCCAGCTGCGGGTGGGGTTTTCCCCGGAATCCGCACGCCCTCCCGTGACGTCACAATCGCGGCGTCCCTCCTCCGCCCCTCCCCGGAGCGAGAGGGCTTCCCTAGAATCCCCAGGTCCGCCTTTGTTCTAATGACGTCACACACTTCGGGCGGGGGTGGGGTGGGGGGGAAGAGTCCTTCTTGAGGGATCCCGTGACGTCGAAGCCCATATACGCTGCTAAACTCTGGATCCCTTCGCTAAAAAAAAAAACCAAACACCTCTCGCGTTCCCATCCCGGGATCACGCCAAAATAAAAGCTGCGTAAATCCTACCTCGCGTTTTCCCTTGCATTAGGAAAAAGAAGAGGAGAGAGACAGACAGACAGACAGACAGACAGACAGATAGACGATAGATAGATAGATAGATAGATAGATAGATAGATAGATAGATAGATAGATAGATAGATAGATAGATAGATAGTTTTGAAGACAATTGAATTCAAAACTTCAATATTTTGGACACCCCTCAAATACACAGATTATTTGTTAGTTTTATCCATATTTAAATCTATGAATTGATCTATGAATGGATGGATGGAGATAGATAGCTAGATAGTAGATGCTAGATGATGGTAATAGATGGATAGATAGATAGATAGACACAGATAGAGATAGATGATAGATAGATAGATAGATAGATAGATAGATAGATAGATAGATAGATAGATAGATAGATAGATAGATAGATAGTGATAGCTAGATAGCTAGACAGAGATAGATAGATAAATGATAGATAGATAGATAGACAGACAGACAGAGATAGATGATAGATAGATAGATAGATAGATGATAGATAGATAGGTAGACAGACAGATAGATAGATAGACAGACAGACAGTCAGAGATAGATAGATGATAGATAGATAGACAGAGATAGATAGATGATAGATAGATAGATAGATAGACAGACAGAGATAGATGATAGATAGAGATTGATAGATGATAGATAGATAGATAGATAGATAGATAGATAGATAGACAGACAGACAGACAGACAGAGATAGATGATAGATAGATGATAGATGGATGGATGGATGGATGGATGGATGGATGGATGGATGCAGATGTGTAGATATATAGAGAGAGACGGGGAGGAGGGGGAGAGGGAGGGAGAGACACAGACAGAGAGACAAATGGTTGTTTTGTGTTCCTGCTGCCCCAACATATTTTTGCGGCATATTGCTGGGCATTTTCCCCGCTTGCTTTTTAAACCAGAGTATTCACACATTTGTTTCCAGGGCATTAAATGTCAAATACATGTTTATATGCAGGCACGACAAAACCACAGAAGGCGCTGAGATCCTCAGCAGGGGGCAGTAATGTCTAGCAGAATTTATCCCAGATGTTAACCAGCTGGTCCTTGGGTGGGGAAGCCTGGGATTTCTTGGGGGAGGCTGGGAAGGGGGTGGGAAGAGGGGGAGCACCTGGGCAAGCCGTGCCTTTTCTGTGGCAGGAAAACTGGATGGGTGCAGTCAGTGCCAGGTATTGTGGCTATCCTGGTTCAAGGGATCTTTTTAGTATTTTTTTTTTTAACTGCAAAAGGCGTCTTTATTTGGAACAGTTTATATCCGGCAACAATACCTTTCAATGCCATCAAACAGCTTCTGCCCTTCCCAAGTTCCTTGATAACAGTGCCAAATCCAGTCTAAACATCTGGCTGACTGTGCGACTTGATCATAATAATGAAATCAACAAACCCATTTCATTGTAAACCATATTCTTCTTTATTTTAATTCAAGCCATCAGTTTTAAAACCTGATTATTGTCATCATGTCATCTTTGACTCCTAGCAATCACATAAGCAGATGTTCTCCATGATGATCTGTCCCTCACTGATTCTTTCAGGCCTTCCAATGATGGTCTCGTGACCTCTGTAACTGAATCTATCCCCCCCTTGCTGCTTGGTCATCCTTTCTTTTCTTGCCTTCCACTTTTCTTTTAAAAGTTATGATGAGGTAAAAAAAAAAAACCTACAGCAGTTGGGTGCCACCAGCACCATTCAAACATCATGGTCCTTCTGTTAATTTAAAGAAACAAACAGACAAAAAAACTGATGTCCCGAAGTCGAGCACCATTCCGTATTGCATGGTGACTAATGCTTTGTTATCAAAAAATAAGCCTTTCCCAGTCAAGGATCTTCCAGATGTGCTGAGGCAACAGTTTCCAGATTTCCAACCAGTAAGGGCTACCCTGAGCTACTATCATCCCAAATAGTAACACTGTCATCACAACTGAAAGGTATACCTCTAAGAAAAATCTGGTTTCATTTCCTGTGCTGATGAAATTCCTCTCAAGCCTAGAAAAAATAAATAGCCCGCCAGCAAAGAAGGTGTTGACCATCAGAAAAACTCATGCCCCAAAATAAATTTATAAATTTATAAATAAATAAAATTACCGTTTCACAGCTCAGTTTTACAGCTAAAAGTATCTGCCTGGCTGCTTTGATCTGGCAATGCTGGCGCAGTTGGGGTTCCTTCAATTAAATAATGCCACGGGTGTCAAACTCGATCGTGTCACATGACATATAGTGACTTTTTTGCCTTTGCGGATTTGAGATGGGTGTGGCCTGTTTGTGACGCATCCAGCCCAAGGTCTACCAGTTTGACAAGCCTGAATAATACCCTCTATTAGGACCTTGGAAGTGGGCCTTCTCTATAGCAGCACCTGCCCTATAGAATAAGGTCCCCTGTGAGATCCAGATGGCCCCAACCCGCTGAGGAGCTCTTCACTTAGGCCTTCAGCGAGGGAATGTGGTGAATGTAGTCTGGATTCCCAGGAGGGAGAAGCTGAATCTCAGAGACAGCAAAGTTTAGATATTTTGGTGGGGAGGAAGAGGGTCAAGGCAGCTCCTCCCTAGAAATCTCAGAGTATATCTCTAATGTTGCGAGTACAGTTGTCCTCAACTTACAATAGTTCGCTTAGTGACCGTTCAAAATTACAACAGCACTGAAAAAAGTGACTTATGACTGTTTTTCACACTGATGACCGTTGCAGTATCCCCATGGTCATGTGATCAAAATTCAGATGCTTGGGAACGGGTTCATATTTATGACAGTTGCGATATCCCAGGGTCATGTGATTCCCCTTTTGTGACCTTCTGAGAAGCAAAATCAACGGAGAAGCCAGATTCACTTATCAACCAGGTTACTAATGTAAGAACTGCAGCGATTCACTTAACAAGTGTGGCAAGAAAAGTCGTAAAACGGGATAAAACTCACTTGACAAAGGTCTCACTTAGCAACATAAATTTTGGGCTCAGTTGTGGTCGTAAGTCAAGGACTACCTGTAATTGCTTTAGTTTGGCAAGATTTCTGTCTATAGGTGAGAAAACAATAAAGGAAACTGCTTAGAACTAACTTTTGGGGGCAGGGGCAGTTTTGGGAGCTTGACAAAGAGAATGATCTTTGCTTTGTTTCTATCTATGTTGATCTTTTTTTTTTTTTAATTTGATTTATATGCCGCCCTTCTCCGGAGACTCAGGGCGGCTTACAATGCATTAAGCAATAGCCTTCATACTTTTGTATATTTATACAAAGTCAGCTTATTGCCCCCACAAACTGGGTCCTCATTTCACCTACCTTAGAAAGGATGGAAGGCTGAGTCAACCTTGAGCCTGGTAAGATTCGAATCTGCAATAATTGCAGGCAGCTGTGTTAATAACAGGGTGCTTTAAACCACTGTACTACCAAGGCTCTGTAAAGAGGGGAAGGCTCTTCCCCTCTTTAATCATTTTTTTTCTTCCTTTTCAAGGTTTTATTCAGGGGTGAAATCCAGCAGGTTCTGACAGGTTCTGGAGAACCGGTAACGAAAATTTTGAGCAGTTCGGAGAACTGGCAAATATCACCTCTGGCTGGCCCCAGAGTGGGCTGAGAATGGAGATTTGGCAGTAACCTTCCCCTGCCATGCCCACCAAGCCACGCCCACAGAACTGGTAGTTTAAAAAATTTGGATTTCGGCACTGGTTTTACTGTCTTTGTTTTCATAGTTGTGAGTGACACAGTCATTGGCAATCTGGCAATCTACGGTTTATGAATTATTATTAATATTATTAAAATCAACAAACGAGGAACTAATCTATGAAAGAGATGCCAGCTCACACACTTGCCCTTTTCCTGGTTTTTGAGGGACTGGCACAGTCCTCCTTCAAAAGCAGATACTACTCTGAAACAAAAAACAGAGAGTATTGCTAATAATTAAATCACCTATTCATTGCATCTGGTTATATAAAATGTATCTGTTGTAATTTATATTATAAATCAGAGATTAGCGATCAAATAAACAGGCTATCTCTATGATATGCATTAAGACATATTTTCCTTTGAATGCAAGAGACCAGATCTTGATTAATTAGGTGTAATGCATAGGTTCAATTTGAATGGTTACATAATGGGTTCATGCTCCAAATATTTAAATATTTCGGACTGAAACACACATTAGCAAAGGGATGTGACTCATCTCTTTAAGATAACAGTGAGTTATGTTGGCAGTCTAAGAGCTCCAGTTCTTGAAACATGTTAATGTATACAACGTGATGGCATTTTTTTTGCTTCCAAACTGTTTTTAGGGATGAGTTCTTTAGTCCTGCATAGAATTTTGATCCCACATCCCCTTTCCTCAAACTTTTTCAGATTCATCAGGAGTGATGCTGGTGTTTTATGCTTTTACAATGTTATGCTTGTAATCCTGAATTTTTTTCCCAGCTCACTTTAGCAAAAATATTTTCTGTTTGTATCTTCAGTACCTGCAGTATAGCTACTTCTCAACTTATGATCAGTTGTTTACCAGCTGTTTGAAGTTACAATGGACCACCGTCCAAGAGACTTAGAACTGAGTTTGGAAGTCCTGATCTTGTGTCCCCTCCTTCATGGTAACATGACTGCATTTTAGGTATTTGGCAACTGGCCCACATTTAGAATGGAATGGAATGGAATGGAATGGAATGGAATGGAATAGAATAGAATAGAATAGAATAGAATAGAA